CTTAGCAGTCTATAGCAAACAATTCGTATAATGGCTGTTCCAGAAATAAATAAAGGTGAGGGGGTGTTAGAAGGCACTTTTTAAATATCAACATGCATTAAATTTCAATGGATAATTTCCTATAATTATTCAGGCTATATGTCTAAAATAATCACCACCCATTAAAATTTAATAGAAGTGCCCTCCAGCTAATATTTCTATGAAGAAAATGTGGTTGGAATTTTACTTAATTTTAGTGGATATGGGCATATTACAATGTAATTATGACACCTGAACTTTGTAATTAATGTCTAATTCATTTATATTTCTAGTGTAAATGTATTTCCCTATATTATGAGGAAAAGAAGTAGTTCTAAAAAAAATATTTTCTTGGGCCAGAAATGGGCCTTAAAATGACACTTCTCCTTTCACCAAGGAGTAAAGTAAAGGTGTGTTATTTTTTCTTTTTCTTACAGGGACAACATTAAACTAATTGAGAATCAGACTTTACCTTCACTGAAAACCAGTTTGGAAGGGCATTTAACTTAACTAATTTCCAACTTTTCTTTTAATCTCATAGTGTAATAAAATGCTTCGCTGGGCGCAGCTTGATACGACCGCAGAGGTCGAACCCTGAACAGTTGGGGCAAGTATGGACACAACATTCAAGCTTGATACAGCTCTGAAATTGGATTGTGATTCAATATTTGACACAGCATAGGTTTCTGACACAGAAAGAATGTGGTCTAAGAACTTCAATTTTTTTAATTTACCTATTATGGTCCAATGTCCAAAATCAAAATACATGGTTAGATTCAGCATATCAAAGAACCCCATATATTCAATTTTTGTTGAAATCAAACAAAGTTTAATTTTGGACCCCAACTTGAACAAACTTGAAAACTGGTCCCATAATCAAAATCTAAACACATGTTTTGAATCAGCATATCAAAGTACCCCAAGAATTCAATTTTTGTTAAAATCAAACTAAGTTTAATTTTGGACCCTTTGGACCTTAATGTAGACCAATTTAAAAAACGGGACCCAAAATTAAAAATCTAAAAACACGGTTAGATTTGGCATATCAAAGAACCCCAATAATTCAATTTTTGATGAAATCAAACAAAGTTTAATTTTGGACCCTTTTGACCTCAATATGAACCAATTTGATAGCGGGCCCACAAAATAAAAAATCTAGATACATGGTAAGATTCAGCATATCAAAGAACCCCATATATTCAATTTTTGTTGAAATCAAACAAAGTTTAATTTTGGACCCCAATTTGGACCAACTTGAAAACTGGGCCAAAAATCTAAAATCTAAATACATGTTTAGATTCAGCATATCAAAGAACCCCATATATTCAATTTTTGTTGAAATCAAACAAAGTTTAATTTTGGACCCCAACTTGGACCAACTTGAAAACTGGTCCCATAATAAAAAATCTAAACACATGTTTAGATTCAGCATATCAAAGAACCCCAAAAATTCAATTTTTGTTAAAATCAAACTATGTTTAATTTTGGACCCTTTGGACCTTAATGTAGACCAATTTAAAAAACAGGACCCAAAATTAAAAATCTAAATACACGGTTAGATTTAGCATATCAAAGAACCCCAATAATTAAATTTTTGATGAAATCAAACAAAGTTTAATTTTGGACCCTTTTGACCTCAATATGAACCAATTTGATAGCGGGCCCACAAATAAAAAATCTAAATACATGGTAAGATTCAGCATATCAAAGAACCTCATATATTCAATTTTTGTTGAAATCAAACAAAGTTTAATTTTGGACCCCAATTTGGACCAACTTGAAAACTGGGCCAAAAATCTAAAATCTAAATACATGTTTAGATTCAGCATATCAAAGAACCCCATATATTCAATTTTTGTTGAAATCAAACAAAGTTTAATTTTGGACCCCAACTTGGACCAACTTGAAAACTGGGCCCATAATCAAAAATCTAAACACATGTTTAGATTCAGCATATCAAAGAACCCCAAGAATTCAATTTTTGTTAAAATCAAACTAAGTTTAATTTTGGACCCTTTGGACCTTTATGTAGACCAATTTAAAAACGGGACCCAAAATTAAAAATCTAAATACAAGGTTAGATTTGGCATATCAAAGAACCCCAATAATTCAATTTTTGATGAAATCAAACAAAGTTTAATTTTGGACCCTTTTGACCTCAATATGAACCAATTTGATAGCAGGTTCACAAATAAAAAATCTAAATACATGGTTAGATTCAGCATATCAAAGAACCCCAAGAATTCAATTTTTGATGAAATCAAACAAAGTTTAATTTTGGACCCTTTTGACCTCAATGTGGACAAAGTTGATAACGGGGCCCAAAAATCAAAAATCTAAATACATGGTTAGATTCAGCATATCAAAGAACCCCATATATTCAATTTTTGTTGAAATCAAACAAAGTTTAATTTTGGACCCCGATTTGGACCAACTTGAAAACTGGGCCCATAATCAAAAATCTAAATACATGTTTAGATTCAGCATATCAAAGTACCCTAAAAATTCAATTTTTGTTAAAATCAAACTAAGTTTAATTTTGGACCCTTTTGACCTTAATGTAGACCAATTTGAAAACGGAACCAAAAATTAAGAATCTAAATACACGGTTAGATTCGGCATATCAAAGAACCCCAATAATTCAATTTTTGATGAAATCAAACAAAGTTAAATTTTGGACCCTTTGGACCTCAATGTGGACCAATTTAAAAACGGGGCCCAAAATCCAAAAACTTAATACACGGTTAGATTCAGCATATTAAAGAACCCCAAGAATTCAAGAATAAAACCCCATTGAAATTGATCAAGAAATAAGCAATGTATACGAAGTATCTTCTTTTGCAAAATACTGTGCAATTGAATATTTCTTGCTATTGTGCAATACTGTACAATTGACAATTTCTTGCTATTGCGCAATATTGTGCTATTGGATATTTCTTGCTATTGTGCAATACTGTGCAATTGAAGATTTCTTGCTATTGCGCAATACTGTGCAATTGAAGATTTCTTGCAATTGTGCAATACTGTGCAATTGAAAATTTCTTGCTATTGCACAATACTTATTATATAATAATTTACACATCCTGTTTGGTGTGTATCTCCTACCATATCATTATTATTTGCTTTTAAATATTAATCAGAAATAACCAACTTAAAATGGAAAATTTTAAAAGAAAAAAAAAAGGAAAAAAAGAAAAAAAAAGAAAAAAAAAAATCCCCCCCCAATTTTTTGAACCCCCTTATGATTCATCACCCCCAAACTCAATCCCAGCCTTCCCTTTGTGGTATGGTACCTTGCAGTACAATTTCAGAGAGATCCATACACTTGAACACAAGTTATTGTCTGGAAACTAGAAAAATGCTTATTTTTGGCCCCTTTTTGGCCCCCAATTCCTAAACGTTTCGGGAAATTACCCCCAAACTCAATTCCAGCTTTCCCTTTGTGATACGGAACCTTGTAGTACAATATCAGAAATATCCAAACACTTACACACAAGTTATTGTCATGAAACTAGAAAAATGCTTGTTTTTTGCCCCTTTTTTGGCCCCTAATTCCTAAAATTTTGAGGCAATTACCCCTCAATTCAATTACAGCCTTCCCTTTGTGATATGGAACCTTGTGGTACAATGTCAGAGAGATCCATACACTTACACACAAGTTATTGTCTGGAAGTTACAAAAATGCTTATTTTTGGCCCCTTTTTGGCCCCTAATTCCTTAACTGTTGGTACCATAACCCCCAAAATCAATCCCCACCTTCCTTTCGTAGTATTGAACCTTATGGTAAAATTTCATGGAGATCCATTCACTTTAACTAAAGTTAGAGTGCGAAAACCAATGTGTCTTCGGACGACGCCCGACGACGCCAGATGACGACGACGACGCCAACGTCATACCAATATACGACCAAAAAATTTTCAATTTTTGCGGTCGTATAAAAAAATACATTATGAAAATATACATTATAAATACATCTACATTATACTATTTGTATGTAAACCCTTTTTTATTTAAACTACAACATTTCAAATAATTTCATTTTTTTCTAGTAATAATACCTTTCTGTTTCAAAAACTGTTTAAATGAATTTTTAAATAATATAATCAGAGTTTGAAATAATACAATGCCGATTCCAAATCAAGTCAATGGTTTTGATTTGTAAAATCTTCCACAAAGATATTTACTTCAATAACTTGGGAACATTGCAGCCATCCAAAATAGATGTTTTGTCTCTCATGCTTGTTATCTTATTTTAATAAGTACATGCAATTTTAATGTGTACATACCTGGCTATTCTCAATCTACCAAGTCACATCTTATTTTATAATATATATTTTGAATTAAATGACACCATTTCAACATAAGTAAATAAATAATATTAATTCTCTACTACATATAAGTGTTGAATCTTGGTACTTTGGAAGAAAAAACTAAATAAAAAGACAATCTCATAGTTCATAATCTCTTAACCAAGAAATGAGCTGCCAAATTGACCGCAAACCAGGTTTTTTCTTTTTTTGAAGGGAACTATTGTTGAACTTAATAAATTGTCACATAATTAAAATTAAAAAAAAAAAGGCAGGTAGTATGAACTTTTGCAAGCATTGATTGAAAGGTTCCCCAAATCAATAATGGCATTTCTGTCAGAAAACTGGGTTTATCAAACTACACCTATATTCTTTGCAATAAAATTTCAAAAGAATTTAACAATCAAAAGCAAATTTAGCTTGAAATAAGTGTGAACTGATAGCAATGCAAACAAACTTGTGCACTACTGTTCAGTTAGAGTTTGTTTTTTCAACCTTTTTCATATTTTTTCAAAGGTATTGTATACTTAATGCTTATTATAAAAAAAGAAAAAAAAATCCACTATTAAGGGTGGGCATGGGGGACATCTGAAAGTTTTGCCCATTCTCACAATGAACCGGCAGAAATGACCAAATCCATGTGATCTGTACCACACTATAGTATAAATTCAGCTGTATAAAAAGTGACAATGAAAAGCTACAGCAACATAAGAAGGTATATGTCCCCAAAAAATTACTGTTCATAGTCATAACAAAATATTTGCTTGAATGGCAGTGTGCTGATTAATTTCAACTTTACACTTATCAAGTGGGCTATTGCATGGTAAACTTCATTTCAAACTCTGATAAAATAAACTAAAAGAACTACATTCTAATGCTGCATTTCTACAACATATTGTTAAATCTATCACACTTTAGTTTTTCCCAACTGATGGACGGAATCTTGTCTGTGGATATCTTCCATTACAACTAATGTCACTGTAATGTAAAAAAAAAACAACAACGTTGAATTTTGAAGAAAAATGATATGAGTAGAAAAACTAAATTCAGCATTAGAAATAGACTGCTATAAAATCAGAAATTATTGCGATGTTTTCATTAATGGGAAAAATGCAACAGTATCAAGTTTTAAATAATAAAAACTTTCATTCATAAATTTAGTAGTGACTTTCCTCCTTATAATATTTGTAAATACATTAGTTAGTTTTAAATCATATTTCTTATTTAAATGTATTTACGTATTGATTTTACTGTAATCATTAATTCCCGAGTCCCGATAGATGTAAATCCTGAATTCCCACGGAAATAAAGGCCCAATCCCAAATTCCCGCAAAAATAAAAGCCCAATCCCGATGTCCCGAAAAGGTCCATCTGCCTCTCTGTAATTGCTTACATCCATGTCATTTCAACGTATCATACCACATCTCCTTGTTGTTATAATGTATTGAAAACAGATATTGTTGGTTTGATGTCATAAACCTCATGCTGACTTTTATTCATACTAACCAGTTTTGTTACTTCTTCTATTTTTCCTTCTCTACTTGGTGTCTTCAATAATTTTGAAGGCTGAAAAAAAAACAAGTTGAAGTATGAACTATTTATTTCTACTGAAACCCTTGCTTTAGTTATTCAGTAAATTGGAAGTTAATGAGTAAAGATGTGACAAGGCATCACATAGTATAGCATGATTACATCAATGTTGATACCAAAAAAGATTGGCTATCAAGAAATATGTCTCAAACTATCAACCAAAGACCAAAGAACAAGGACGTAAACAATTAAGTGCCAGTCTTAATAAGAATCAGGCAATTTAGAAAAAATTCAAAACATTCCTGAAAAAAAAACCACTTACCTAACCATCCTATTTTGAAGTTACTCTCATCCTGAGTTAGAAATGGTAGGTCTTTCATTTCTTATTGTCTGGTAATTCGAGAAATCTCTAGATAACTTTTGGTTAGAATGATAGCAAATTACAGAGTTAACTCCCCTTAATTGTTAATTTCTAGTGCATTTCAACCAAATTATATCTTGAATTACCAGAACGGGAAAAGGAACCGAATGTTATATTCATGCACCATTATCCAATTTGAACATAAATAAATGTCACCTTGAGTGGATTTTTGTTTGTCATGTTTTCACCACTGCCTGATTCTTAGAAAGATAAGCACTTAAAGAGCATTACAAATCATTTAAAATAAAGACATGATTCACTATTCATTTCTTTATGTTAGTTCAATCTGATGAGTCAAACCATTTCCAATTGATTTTTACAGTTTGTTTTTATGCTGTGCTGTTACGCCACTGTCCAAGGTTAAGGAGAGGATTGAGTGTTCACAAACATGCTTAACCCCTCCACATTCTGTATGTGCCTGTCCCAAGTTAGTAATTCAGTAGTTATTGTAGGTTACTGTCCGTCATATTCATTTTTCAAAATCACTGATTTATAGGCTGTAAAAAAATGTTTTGGGGTAAAACATGTTTTCCAAACTATTCTACATTGTATGATTCAACTCAGCAGTGATCTTCCTACCTATTTTCAAATGGGGCCATGGCCCTAGGCAATTGGGAATAATGTAAAAAGATAAAGTTTAATTGTATATATTTTTGAATTGACTGTGAAGTATTTACCTTTTAGTTTACTAGTATATATTCTTTAATTGGTTGAAGTATTTACCTTTTTGACTTGTATATATTCTTTAATTGACTGAAGTATTTACCTTTTTGTTTACTTTACAAAGTATTTCTTGGAGGGGAAAAAATATACCATGGTCCTTCTTACATGTATAATATCTTTTACTTTTATAAAATCCATCATGCTGTCCAACTGAAAATATAATCCAGTAATTAAATGTCTGACATAATTGTTTAAAAGCTTAGTTTTTTTTTTTGCATCCTAACTTACATATACTGTAAATTCAGAAATTGTGTGTTCATTTATTATTGCAATGAGAGAACAATTGACAATAAAATGCTCCGCTGGGCGCAGCTTGATACGACTGCAGAGGTCGAACCCTGAACAGTTGGGGCAAGTATGGACACAACATTCAAGCTTGATACAGCACTGAATTTGGATTGTGATTAAATATTTGACACAGCACAGGTATTTGACACAGAATGAATGTGGTCTAGTACATTTCAGAAAGATCCATACACTTACACACAAGTTATTGTCATGAAACTAGAAAAATGCTTGTTTTTTGCCCCTTTTTTGGCCCCTAATTCCTACAATTTTGAGGCAATAACCCCCAAAATCAATCCCAGCATTCTCTTTGTGATATGGAACCTTTTGGTACAATGTCAGAGAGATCCATACACTAACATACAAGTTATGTCTGGAAGTTACAAAAATGCTTATTTTTGGCCCCTTTTTGGCCCCTAATTCCTTAACTGTTGGTACCTTAACCCCCAAAATCAATCCCAACCTTCCTTTTGTGGTATTGAACCTTATGGTAAAATTTCATAGAGATCCATTCACTTAAACTAAGGTTAGAGTGCGAAAACCAATGTGTCTTCGGTCAACGACGACGACAACGCCAATGTCATACCAATATACGACCACAAAATTTTTTGCAGTCGTATAAAAATCAAAATAAAAATTATTGCAATTTCTAGAAATGTTGTACCGTAGAAAGGCTTGTATAGTTCACACTGGTACATAGTCCGCACCCCCTTCTCCCCACGAAATTTTAGGTAAAAAAACTTTTTGTAACTGTTAGAAAAGGTCTAATGAAACTCCGGTAATTTCAAATCCTGTGCGGTCGTTTGCGGTATTTTCTTGGAAAAACCTGTTTTCCATCATCAAACAGAAGCTGAAACTGCTTGAAAATGATTCTAGAACGCTTCATGATTGTTAAAATAAGTTTAATTCACTTAAAAAACAATTTAGAAACTTGTGTATGTTTAAACAGGAAGTTTAAAAAGCATGTGTAAAAGAAGAAATTAACCGGTGAGAGTTGAAATCCGTACATAACAGATATCACTATAATACGACTTTGAAAGTAAAACAGTTCCATCCTTTTGTAAAACAGTCTTTAATATATCTATCACATTAATGTTTGAAGGGTCTTAAGCTAATACAAACCATATTAGTCAGTATGAAACACCAAAACGGAACGAACAATAACCGATTACATTTTGTAGTTTACAAATTCTAAGCTGGTTTACGGTTGTCTTTTTCACTATGTTTGTATCGTTTCAATCAAGCAGATACCAGTTTATTTCAACCAATGCATTGAAAAGAAACGAGAAATTTGTAATGAAAGGTTTAGTTTTTATATTTATCAGTATTAATTTGATATTGAATAGAAATAACTTATTAATATGGATGAGTTAAAATTATTAGTTTAAAAAATGATAAGAGCGCCCTCTACAATATAAATAAAAAAGATGGCGGAACGTAAACAAACCACCTCGCCCGCGAAATTGAAATTTTTCTCTTATTTCTTGCTTATTGTACTCTATAGTCCGCACCCCGTCTGGAAGGTCCAATTTTGGAGAATAAAACCACAGACTATACAAGCCTTTCTACGGTATACAAAAAATGCTAAAAAATTTGAAATGTTAAGTTATTTCAAATTTTTGGGAAACCAATCAATGAAAACTTTGCAACAATTTCTGAATCTATAAATGGGTCTATAACTATCCATTTAGACAGCCATTTGATTGAGATATTTTGTCAAGAATTGAGTGAGCTTTGTTTGAATATTATGTAACATATTATTACTGTTAACTTGTCCTATCAATGTAGACATTGATGGATTAAAGTTATAGGAGTTTTACTTGTCATTAGTAATATTTTTATATATAATAATCACTGAAGTTAAATTGCCATGTTTTATAAGCCACCTCCATGCATATTTTTTAATACATAAGAATGCTATACAATTTCAATATTCTTTCAATTTAATATTTATCAGCTACCAAATTCCATCTTGTATTGTTCATATTCTTTTACTCCAAAATTAAAATTGCCAGTCAAGGTTGCAATTATAGAGTACTAAAGTACTAAAAGCATTAAGCAAGAAATAAGAGAAAAACACCTGGTTGAGCAATGTTTGTTTAATATTGAAATTGTAGTGGGTGCTCTTATTTCTTTTCAAAACAGTAATAATTTACATATTCCATATCAATATGCAATTTTGCTTTATGAATCCAATATTAACTGATAAATATCAAATTAAATGCTTTATTGCAAATTTTTCATTTCTTTTTTACAGCATTGCATAACATAAACTGAAATCCACTTTTACTTAAAACTATGAACAAAGCATGGTAGTCTGAGAGGATCTGGCATATCTATAACGATGTATAGATTACAAAACATTATTGGTTATTCATTCAGATTTCATGTTTCATACAGAAATGTTTTTAGCTAAACATTAATTTGATGAAAAAATTGAACAGTAATTTACTAAGGGACAGCACTGTTTTACTTTCATATTTTTTTGTTAAATCTACTGTAGAAACATTAATTTTCGTGGGGTTAAAATTTCGTGGTTTTGTCTCTGTATAAAATTTCATGGGGATTTAATTTCGTGGTTTCCATTAAATGGAAGTGATATTATATGTAGGTTAAATTTTTGTGGGGTTTTAATTTCGTGGATATATTCTTTCCATGAAATAAACGAAATTAAATCCTCCACGAAAATTTCTGCTTTTACAGTATTAGGCAGGCACAGATTTTCTGCCCTATCTCCCTGTTTTTGATTGCGATTTACAAGTTCTTTTTCAATTCAGGTTAATAACGAACACATTTTTTCCAATTGTTTTTTTTTTATGTGATTTTGACATATTTTTTAACTCTCATAGGCATACTTCGGTTCATCAAACTTGGGTTAGTACTTAGTTTGACGAGTGTACTCAGGTTTCAATCAAACCTCACAAGTTTGTCCTTTTGAATTTACGTGAGTTGACTCAAAATCAACCCTGGGTTAAGGCAGGTTTAGTAGAGTTACAAAATGCGACAAACAAGAACAGCAATGAAGAGTATGATATAAAATAACTGACATTTTACAAAATACAGTCAAAGAAAAGGAGCTATTAAGAGAAATTTATTTTGTGGCTGTATTTTTCATGTGTAAATACTGTCGGTGATGTTTATCAATAGAACAGAAAAATATAATTACAGTTCTTCGAGTTAGTAAGAGTAAAATGTGAAGTTATTACGAAAAAATCCATTCACTTTACTTAGAACAATGCTTAGGGGAAGAAATGACAAGAAGATTTTGAAAACAAATCACTTTGGCCTGGTAAGAACTGAAATTTAATAAATGATAAGTTCTTTAATGATGTTACAAATTTGAACATAAAGTTGTTGTCCATTGTCAACATCCATTGAAAGAAAATTAACAACCGCTTTCTATGTCTATATTCTCCGTTTTGAGTTAACTAAAGAACAGAGTTTTAACTTCAATTTGGGAAGGTTGCCCACATGCACATTAGCATCAATTTTTTAACTCTCATCCACCAAATTGGACGAATCTAAGTAGGCCATGAAGTGTTCTAGAGTCTTGTACAAGCATTTTTAACTTTTACTTGATAATGAAAAACAGGGTTTTCCAGGAAAATACATCAAATGGTCACACATGTGTAATAACAAGAGTTTAGAAGACATTTTCAACAAGTGACAAAAATTTTTTTTCCAGAATTCCCGTGGCGAAAAAAGATTTTGCAGACAATGTACAAGTATGGATTATACAATGCTAATTAAGGTACATCCTTTTGTTCTCACAACTTTTCAAGAATAAACAAAGAAATTCTCTACAAATCTTCCAAAAGTGATTGTATCTCTTGTTTTGTTATGTTTGTCTTTCATCTGTTTACAAGTGTAATACTGTTAATATGTTTATAACCTCCTTAACGGCAATTGGTGTTTTTACATTTTGCTATAATTATATTGATTCAGTACAAGCAATAATTTACAGAATTGTCTTTTAAAATTACCAATAAATATTTTAATAGAAATCAATAGAAAATAGAAAGACGATATCAAAATAAATACTGCAATACCTCAATTAACAGATAAAAAGGTTTACCTGGTTGAGCAAGTTCAAGGCCAACATATAACACATCTGGTGTGTTGTCAAGGTGACCAATATAGCAAATTCTACCAGTTTTATCTCCCTTGGCAACAACATAATCACCTTGTTGCACTTGCAGTTTATAGCTTAAGAAATAATAAAAATAAGATATACAATGCATACATTTTATAATATTTAAAGCCTTCTAATAACAGTTACACATCTTTTGAGTTCAACAGACAAAGAGTTATGAAGCTTGGGTAGGAACATTTTCATTCAAAATATCTGACAGTACTAAATACATTCTTTCGTATTAACCAGTTTGATAACATAAACATTAACACCACAGTTTCATTTGTAATTCAGGTTATCATTTGGTCCTACAATATAACAAATAATTGTCCCCATTACCAAGGCATTGATATACAGGAATTCATTATTATTCTTGGGATACCAATTTTTGTGGATTGAGTGGGAATAAGTGAACCATAAATATAAATGTTCATCAAATTACAAATTTTCTATAGGCTAATATGCTTACTTTGACAAAACCACAAAATCAATTATCACGAAAATACAATTTTTCCATCATCCACGAAAAATTGGTACCCAGGAAAATGTAAGAATCCACAGTAATTAAAATCAGCACAGGCTAAAATGCTATTATCTTTTTTTTTTGTTAAGTCATTGGGGGTACCAAAACTAGTTTTTTACTTTTTTAAAAAGCTAGATATTTATGACTACTACAAATTCAGAAATTTTTGCATTCATTTATTCTTGCATTTGATGAACAATGTACAAAAATGCATTTAAAATCATTGGGAGAAATGGATATGTTGCATATAAATAGTGCTATGAAAAATTAAAATGTGATTTTTTAAAAAATTTGGGACACCTACGGGGTATCCCATTTTGATATTTTCCCAATAATAAAAACATCACAAAAATTTCTGAATTTCCAGTAATTAATGAGTTTTTTCATGCAATGTATTAAACCATACCTAACAGAAAATTTCAGATAAAGTCTAGGTCATGATTGTAAATTGCAAGACGAAAATAAACAACTAAATTGATGATGATGATGATGGATGGCTGCTTAATATCCAGCGACAAATTAATATGCATATTCAGGACGAGAACATGTTAATGTAATATGAATATTTAACCTGCTTTCTACTGAGACGGATTTTTTACGTGCTAGTTCACAAGGTAACAGTCTGCAGGAAGACATGTCACCTTACCTGGACACATTATTCTGATTCTAAGCCAACCAGTCTTTGCTCTTACTCCTAAATGCTGCGTGCTAAGTGGAGAAGCAGCAACTTCCAATTTTAAAGTCTTTGGTTTGAACCGGCTAGGGTTCAAACCCACGACCTCCGGCAATCAAGGCGAAAACTCTACGAGACCTCCAAGGCGGTTCAACTAAATTGATGGATGGTTTCTACTATAATGTATGAAACCCTACCTAACAGAAAATTTCAGATAAAGTAGGTCATGATTGTAAATTGCAAAACATATGTCAACAAATAAATTGATGGATGTTTTCTATGATAATGCATTTTAACATACCTAACAGAAAATTTCTGTGCGTCATTTACATCTTCATCGCCACTCCTGACAGCAGACTCACAACGAGAACATTTACAGCCTTTGATTGGTTCAGAACAAACACTTGTCACACTCGGTGATAATGCTCTGGACCACTTTTTATTAACACTATAAAATATAAAACTTAAAATCAAGATTTAAATAATTACACTTTACTGACCCTAATGAAGGCATTGTAAATTTGGTGAACTTGTGTTGTTGTATTACTGTCTCACTAAAATATACTACATAAAATTGAGAATGGAAACAGGAAATGTGTCAAAGAGACAACAACCCGACCAAAAAGCAGAATACAGATAATGTATTGAAAAAGACTAAAATTTTCAATACAGACTACCATTTCTTCCTACAAATTGGTTTTTGGTGGGGATCATTTGCTCAATATTTAGCTTTCTTTGCAATGTTTGTTTTTTATTCCTTTTTGTTGTTGTTTTTTTTCACAATGGTGATATCTGTTAATTTTTTTACCATGGTCAGGGTTTTCAATAAGTCTGAAGTGAACAGGCTGTTTTCTAATTGAAGTGGCTGATGGTAGATGGGTCTGGAGGGGCTTGACCCCCTCGAAATTTTTTTTTGACTTACATTGAAAAAGAAGCACTCTGGGGCATTTTCAGATTGTTTACAAGTTCATAAAAAATGAGGTTTCATAGAAATAACCTTTTTTTTTTAGTTTTTGCTTTAGTAAGTTTAATCATATTTGTAAGTTGTGATATTGCTTATCAAATAAAAATATTTTTATATCAATAATAATCTTAATTGTAATCAATCATATTGGCAGATATTTTAAAAAAGGTAAGAAAGCAGCTGATGGGTCATAATCAAACAATACCAAGAATTCAATACAATCAAGTTGAGTAAACAAGAAATAACCTCAAAACCTGGATCATAAAAGTAACCAGTCAAAACACACAAAAACAAGCATTCTGAGAGTATTACATGGCAATACATAGTCACCTACCAGTTAAAAATTCATTGTACTGGAACAAAATTGATCTTTAACTTGTCATGGTGTAAACTATATAACAAAAATATCAAGTCAATATCTTCAAGCATGACGCCAAAAAAGTGTGAAAACTGGATTATTTAAGTGAAACCAAGGACCATAACTCTGCACAAAATCAGCAGACCGGAACAAAATTTGAATTTGATCTGTAACTTGTCATCATAAAACTATACACCATATATCAAATCAATATCTTGAAGCATGACAAAAAAAAGTGAGGAAAACTGATTATTTGAGTGAATTTTCTGTCCAAGGACCATAACTCTGCACAAAATCATCAGACCGGAACAAAATTCAAACTTGATCTGTAACTGGTCATGATAAAACTATACACCAAATATCAAATCAATATCTTCAAGCACAAAGAAAAAAAGTGTGGAAAACTGATTTGCCAGACTGAGGGATGGACAGACAGACGGAGTGCAAACCTATAGTCCCCAACGACTTGGTCAGTCAGGGACTAAAAAGCGGACCCCGACGAGAACACCTTAACAAAGCACAAGCGAAGACAAAAGTCAATTTCAATCGGTAATAACTTGTTTTACGCAACGAAAGCACAGTTTTATCTATTTTATTTTTATTTGGAAACACAGTTTGAACCGGTGAATTCCTTAATTTGAAATGGGAAAATTCGCTGGGTGCTAGTGCTTATTGAAAACCCTGATCATGATGTCTGTTATTATTCATGTTATTGGATTTTCTAATCCTCCCTTGTTATCTACTCTCTCTTTTTACTCTATATAAATATTTATTTTGGTGGATTCCTATTTTCATGGATTAAGGACAAATTATATATTCTTGGATGTTTGATGGATTTTCTAAAGACTGTTACAAGCCTATAGGAATGTACAATTGAACATTTTAATTGGTTTACCTTTACCAATAAAATCAACGATATAATCTTAACTGACTAGGATTGTCAGTTTTCCTATCGTAAGTCAATGGTTTTCTCCCAGCACTCCGGCTTCCTCCACCAATAAAAACTGGCCGCCACGAAATAGCCCAAAACCGTTGCTTAAAAGTGGCGTTAAAACACCAAAAATCAAAATCAACGAAAAATTGGTTCCCCACAAATATTAATGAATTAAAAATATATCTTAGCAGTTTTGCTCTATACTTTATACTCTTATGAAGAAATTTTAAAGCCATTTTAAATTATGTGATAAATAAAGTCTAAATTTCAATCTTTTCACCTACTGACCTTTGTGTTTTCTGTTTACTTCCACTATAAAGTTTTGGACCTTTGACCTTGTTGTCTGGGTTACTGTGTAATTCATTCTCAATATATAATTTATCAAGGCATTGTTTAACCTAAAAGGAATAAAAGTAATACATATCAGATGTAGTGATTTAGAGTTTAACATATATAGTGTATAGGCACATCATGTCTATTGTTGAAGACCAAATTTTGTGCTGTCTCATTGAGGTAAATCATTTAGGTCCTTTTATTCCTACTTTTATCGGCATCTAAGTAAAATAAAACAGGATATGACATGAAGGGTTGTCCTTTTGTCAAGTAAACACTGCAGTGTACATGTTTGATGGCAAAGTCAAAAATAAAAGTTGCAAATATCAGAAAATACCAAATCTAGCATTACCGGTACTAATTTTACTTTGTATGAATACATCATCAACTGAATCAGCCCTAACAATATCTTAAAATCTCTGATTTTAAAAAGACCCCATGTTTTTCCTTCCTTACTATAGCACAGTCATTAATATTGGCCACTAAGAGTAAGATAATTTACCTTATTGTTTTAGTAAAACTATTAAAGAATGCAAGACACAAGTATTTAACACCTCAAAAATTAACATAGAACCTAATGGATAACATTTAGATTTAATCATTTATAGACAAAAAATTATGAAATTAATAGCCAGAGTTTGTATTTAACATACATCCAGAAAAAAATATCGATTTTGAAAAAAATGGATTTTTAAGAACTTTTTTTCTGCAGATATACATGTCAGATATCTAGAGGTCATATGAACAATGTATGCAAAAATTACAGAGAAGATCACTTTTAACATTTATTAATTATTTTTATTTTACTTATTTACAGAAAATTCTTAGTATTTATTTCTAACCTCAATTTGCTGTAGACATTCTGTAATGTATTTCAAGTCTTTCTCAGCATCAAAGGTACTTTCTAGACTGTACAGTTCATCATAATTATCTGCAAAGGAAATATACAGAGTTATCTCTCTTTGTATTAAATGTGCATTTGACTGTTAAATTTTCCACAATACAAAAATAATTTAAGTAACCAATAATTTCATTCTGTCACTTTAGAGATTATTGTCCATATTTACAAGAAAACATTGAATTACACCTTTCAAAACAGCTTTATAGATTTTCATATATATATATATGTTGTGTACAAGTTGTAATTTCGTACAAATTATAATTTGTACAGGGTTTTTTGTACAAGTTATCAGCATTTTGACAAACACCTTCTTTCACCAGGTGATACAAGTTTATCTTCTTTAATTATCCAGTTTGATGTTTTACTCACAAATTTATATACTTCAACCTAACATTAGGCACTGTCCTCTATGTCATAAAACTAACAAATAAATAAGGACAACTGATTGGTTAAGATTATATTTTTATTTTTTGACTAATACCAAATTCTATGTCCACAAAATATATTTTAGTGTTTTTATATTAACTTTGTGTTAGTACTATGTAGAAGACTGTAGCATTAAAGTGTGGAAATAAAACAGTGATAAGCTTAACCAAAGATACTGTGCTTATTTTATCTAATTATGTAAAAAGATTCACAAAATACTGATAACTTGTACAAAAATACTGTACAAATTATAATTTGTACAACATTACAATTTGTACACAACATATATATATATTACAAACAATAATACTAGAACAATTTTGTACAGTACTCACGTTACAACACAAAAAAGTCGTTGTGATTTATGATCACAATTTTCTTATTTTTGATGAATTCATATAAAGAAGATCAAAGTCTGACATATACCTGACAATTTAAACTGGTCTTATTCTTATATGAAAAATAAGTTGGCTACCAGTACATCCAACTTTAATTGCATGTTTCCATCGCTAACAGGTACTTGTCAACATATATCTGTTCCTCCTAACAGAAGTTCCTCTCGAAACTTTTTTAATAAACAATGCTATAATATCTATTCCTATTGGAACCTTTTTCTGTCAGGAACAAATATTGTAAAATGTATTCCAATAGAAATAATATTCCAGTATATTTTTTCCATTTGAAACTTATATTAGTATTATAAAGGAACTACAATGCCATGACTTACTTCTATTGTCTTCAACTTCATACTTTATCTGTTTTGATTTCTGAGATATTCTGAAAATCATAATACTATAATTCATAAATTGGATAAAGATTCAAGTGAGTACTAGATAATAGCATTATACACCTCCATAATCATTGTAAATACCTTTTTGATCGAGGCTATTTCTTTGCAAACTTTTTTCCAACTGTCACCATAACGACCATTTTGTATTTATAGATTATTTATTTTTTCGGCTTATGACACCATTGTGTTCTGTTTCTACTCGAATGCAAAAATCAATTCTCCGTTGAGTACCTTTTAGCAAAAATATTACTATTTTAATGAAGTTCATAGCTTCAACTTTTATTGGGATTTTTTATTCTTTGATGTTATAGCTAAAAAAAGCTCAAAAAAGCATGCTCTCTTTATCTCACATATATAATCCATGTCCCAATTTCAAATAATTGGATGACAAGGATCAGATAAAATATGAAAGTGCTATCATGAGGAATTAATAGTGAATATTTTTACAAGTTTCTTCCCTCATTTTAGATTTTTATGATTATTGATCTCACCTGAGGTTGTGATGAGTGGAAACCTTCATGCAAATTCGGTGACAAGAATAAATAAAATGCTCCTCGCTGGGCGCAGCTTGATACGACCGCAGAGGTCGAACCCTGAACAGTTGGGGCAAGTATATATGAACACAACATTCAAGCTTGATACAGCACTGAATTTGGATTGTGATTAAATATTTGACACAGCATAGGTTTCTGACACAGAATGAATGTGGTCTAAGAACTTAAAAAATTTTAATTTACCTATTCAAACCATATCATTATTATTTGCTTTTATATATAAATCAGAAAGAACCAATTTAAAATGGAAAATTTTAAAGAAAAAAAAAGGAACCCCCCCCCCCCCCCCCCCCCAATTTTTTGAACCCCCTTATGATTCATCACCCCAAACTCAATCCCAGCCTTCCCTTTGTGGTATGGTACCTTGCAGTACAATTTCAGAGAGATCCATACACTTGAACACAAGTTATTGTCTGGAAACTAGAAAAATGCTTGTTTTTTGCCCCTTTTTTGGCCCCTAATTCCTAAAATTTTGAGGCAATTACCCCCAAAATCAATCCCAGCATTCCTTTTGAGATATGGAACCTTGTGGTACAATGTCAGAGAGATCCATACACTAACACACAAGTTATGTCTGGAAGTTACAAAAATGCTTATTTTTGGCCCCTTTTTGGCCCCTAATTCCTTAACTGTTGGTACCATAACCCCCTAAATCAATCCCAACCTTCCTTTTGTGGTATTGAACCTTATGGTAAAATTTCATAGAGATCCATTCACTTAAACTAAAGTTAGAGTGCGAAAACCAATGTGTCTTCGGACGACGACAACGTCATACCAATATACGATATATAAAAATATGGAATATTGTAACAAGACCACTCTAGAAAATAAGTCCCCATTTCAAATAATGCTGACTAACAAACTCATCTACATTTTTTCTATGACTGGAAATTTTCATCCAAATTTGAAAAGAGGATCTGACAAAAAAAATATGTTGTATCATCTACTGCTGAATAATTTATATACCCACTCTTGTATTTCATATACCAATAATTTGTAGTTGCGGAGATAAATTTGACAGAAATGTGGCATGCATACCATGTATACTGACAGAGGTAAACTAGCATTCCGCCACTCCATTGACGACAGGGATAGGCAGTCTTCACACTTAACCACAGGCCCACCAGCCAAGGCTTGTAGAATTGCAGTTGGGCCTGTAAAAATCATCTCTATAGGCCAATAGAATCTGACTAAATTTTTTGTAAAATTCAGCTATGGGCCTGTAGATTCAAAAGTTTATCACGAAGACTGAATAGGGGAATCACGAAGGCTCAGACAGGTCAAAAACATTAAGGTGCCACAAGTTCTTTATATAGAGTAACATTACCTATGATATCTGTCATTCTTCTTGTCTATATTGTGTTTATCATAGTGTCCTGAAGTGTGAACGGTAGGTTTAGATTCCACATGAACCTCCGCCTTTGTCATCAGACCATTTCTAGTTGGTTTTTGAACCTCTGTTTCATTTAAAGGTCCATCAGTTGAGACTGGTGGTTCTTGCTGACCGTGAAGACTATCAGGTCTCTGTGATAATGGTGATGTACCGCTGTGACGACTACTGTTAGGGGATCGCTGCTGACTCTCTGGTCGCTGTCTTACTTTGGGTGAATCACTTACAGTACTTGAGCACTGGCTGCATCTAGAGGGTGGTCTGTACGGTTCCTGGAAGAAATTTTATGTTTTTTTTGTTTTTTTTAAAAAAGATTATGCAATCAACACTTAAAATCAGGAAAACAGTACTGGATTTGAAGACCTGCCACCATCACTTGGGAATTTGATGGTGGCAAATACAATGTGGAGCATAGCCAGTAAAACTAATATTAGGAATGCAACCATTTTCTTAGTAACTAGATAAAAGATAGCATTATGTATGAATTACTTGGATGAAGTATGGTGGATAATACTTTTGTCTGAGCTCAGTGATGCTGACTTGATCAGTGACTTACTTGGATATGGTGTGAAGTATCATTGATAATACTTTTGTCTGAGCTCAGCGATGTTGACTTGATCAGTACCTTACTTGGATATGGTATAAAGTATGATTGATAATAATTTTGTTTGAGCTCAGTGATGCTGACTTGATCAGTGACTTACTTGGATATGGTATAAAGTATGATTGATAATAATTTTGTTTGAGCTCAGTGATGCTGACTTGATCAGTGACTTACTTGGATATGGTGTGAAGTATCATGGATAATAATTTTGTTTGAGCTCAATGATGCTGACTTGATCAGTGACTTACCTGGATAAGGTGTGAAGTATCATGCATAATACTTTTGTCTGAGCTCAGCAATGCTGACTTGATCAGTGACTCACCTGGATATGGTGTGAAGTATCATGGAAAATACTTTCGCCTCAGCTCAGTGATGCTGACTTGATCAGTGACTTACCTGGATATGGTGTGAAGTATCATGGATAATACTTTTGTTTGATCTCAGCAATGCTGACTTTATCAGTGACTTACCTGGATATGGTGTGAAGTATCATGGATAATACTTTTGTCTGAGCTCAGCGATGCTGACATGACCAGTGACTTACTTGGATATGGTATGAAGTATGGTTGATAATACTTTTGTCTGAGCTCAGCAATGTTGACTTGAGCAGTGACTTACCTGGATATGGTGTGAAGTATCATGGATAATACTTTTGTCTGAGCTCAGAGATGATGACTTGATCAGTGACTTACCTGGATATGGTATAAAGTATGGTGGATAATACTTTCATCTTGAGCTCAGCAAACCTGACTAGAAAAGTGACTTACTTGGATATGGTATGAAGTATCATGGATAATACTTTTGTCTGAGTTCAGCGATGTGACTTGACCAGTGACTTACCTGGATATGGTATGAAGTATGGTGGATAATACATTCGTCTTGAGCTCAGCAAACCTGACTAGAAAAGTGACTTACTTGGATATGGTATGAAGTATCATGGATAATACTTTTGTCTGAGCTCAGGGATGCTGGAGTTGGACTTGTGGAATGTGAAGTTGGTCGACTGCCTGATCTCAATGCTTGATTCTCTTTTGTCAGGAGTAGAACTTTCTTCTCTAGACTAAAATTAAAGATCAGAATTATCTAAAAAAAAATTGATAACTTTTGACAGATTGTTTTCAAATTTTTCATAAGATGCCTGAAGTCAATGAAAGTAATTAAGTTATAAATATGATAAATCATAATGAGTAATATTCTTTAAATTTTGACTAACATAAGAACTTTAAGGTGTACATGTATAACTAAAATCGACTCACTATTTTTCACTTCAAAATTTTTTACTCAACTCAAGCAAATAAAATGCAAAAAGTTGGTGTTAAATTATTAAATGGTGTTTGATACCTTTCTCAAGTCATTTATAGATTCCCTAGCTGTAGGGTTTAGGTATTTTATAGATCCCATAGCTGTAGGGTTTAGGTATTTTATAGATCCCCTAGCTGTAGGATTTAGGTATTTTATAGATCCCCTAGCTGTAGGGTTTAGGTATTTTATAGATCCCTTAGCTGTAGGGTTTAGGTATTTTATAGATCCCTTAGCTGTAGGGTTTAGGTATTTTATAGATCACCTAGCTGTAGGGTTTAGGTATTTTATAGATCCCCTAGCTGTAGCATGTGTAGGGTTTAGGTATATACCTTTTATTAAGAATATAGTTTGCCTTCTTAAAATTCAGAGTTGCAACACACAGCCAGAAATTGATATTACTCTTAACATGCTTAACATTAAATATTCATGCTTTATTAATCATGTCAATTTACACATTGATCATGTTGATACAGACATGGCAAACAGACTAATTCTTTTATTGTCTCATATTAAATACTAATACCTTCTTTTTAATGTTTTTGCTCTTAGTAAATTTGCTACATCAGTACAAAGAGGGACTATCCCATTATATCTCATTAAGTACTAATACCTTCTTTATTTTTGCTCTTAGTAAATTTGCTACATCAGCAATCAGTACATAGCAGTCATTCCCAAGGTCGCCTAACATTGGGCAAAGTCCAGTAAAATTTGGTTTGGTCCAGTTAAGCAATATGCATTACTGGACCAAATGACCAGTAATTTTTTTCAATTTTGTTCAAATCATGAGTAAATGTCCAGTTAAAAAAAGTCTGGTCCAGTTAAGAAGAATGGATTACTGGACCAAATGTCCAGTTGATTTCTCAAAGCCTTGGGAACCACTGTACATAGAGGGACTATTCCATTGTATCTTATTAAGTACTAATACCTTCTTTTTGCTCTTAGTAAATTTGCTACATCAGTACATAGAGGGACTATTCCTTTTCTGGTGCTGTTAACAACAAAGGCTACTGCTCTTGATGCGATTTCTTTGTCCTCTACAAGATTTATCTCCCCTCCTGAAATTTAAATAATTGTTAGGAACCTTAATTCAGTGGTTGTCGTTGGTTCATGTCTGCCATATTTGTTTTTCGTTCACTATTTTTTTTTTATAGATTAAGGTGTTGGTTTTTTTCTCGTTCAAATTGATTCTCATTTTGCCATGGCAGCACCTTTATACATGTTATAACTGACTATTATGGTATGGGTTTTGTTCATTGTTGAAGGCAATACCATGAATACAGTGCTAAAGTGTTTCTCACTTCTGCGTGCAAGTCATCTCCTCATTTTCATAACAATGGGCGGGGGGGGGGGGGGGGGGGGGGGGTCTCTTCCACTATATAAAGGTATGCGTCACTTTTTAGGAATGTCAAATAAATCAATGGCTTGAAATTTTTCACAGAGGTTATATTTTAATGGTTAATGTCTTAATAAGATGTCATGATACCTGGAAAATATGTATAAACATGATGAATGGTTTGTGATTTTCCTATGATATATATGAACCGGTAGGGATTTTCTCATTTCTATATATAACATGAATAAATTAATATATGAATGGAGGGTGTTTTTTAAACTCCAGACGGAAGTCTGTACCCAAATTTGTATGTTGAGACCCTCCCCCTTTACTGGCTTTAGAAAATTTAGATAAAATGCCTCACTAAGCACACCCTGATATGACCGCAGAGGTCGAACCCTGAACAGTTGGGGCAAATTTGGACACAATATTCAAGCTTGATACTGTCTGAATTTGGATTGTGACCAAATTTTTGAAATAATATAGGTTTCTGACACAAAAAAAATGTGGTCAAGGATCTTAAAAATCTATTGCGTAATACTGTGCAATTGAAAATTTCTTCTTGAAAATTTTTTAAAAATTTGAAATTTCAAAAATTTTGAAGAAAAAATTATGAGCCCCCCAAACTTTTTGAAACCCCCCTTGGAGTAATTACCCCCAAACTCAATCTCATCCTTCCCTTTGTAGTATGGAACCTTGTAGTATAATTTTAGAGAGATCCATACACTTAAACACAAATTATTGTCTGGAAACTAGAAAAATGCTTGTTTTTGGCCCCTAATTCCTGCATGTTCGGGACAATTACCCCAAAACTCAATCCCAGCCTTCCCTTTGTGATATGGAATCTTGTGGTACAATGTCAGAGAGATCCATACACTTACACACCAGTTATTGTCCGGAAACTACAAAAATGCTTGTTTTTGGACCCTTTTTGGTCCCTAATTCCTAAACACTGTTGGTACCAAAACCCCCAAAATCAATCCCAACTTTCCTTTTGTGCTATTGAACCTTCTGGTAAAATTTCATAGAGATCTATTCACTTAAACAAAAGTAATTGTCCGGATACCAAATGTGTCTTCAGACAACGACAACGACAACGACAACGACAACATCATAGCATTATTTGAACCCAAAAAAATTTTTGCAGTCGTATAACAAATAGAATTGAGAATGGAAATGGGGAATGTGTCAAATAGACAACAACCCGACCAAAGAGCATAAAACAGCCCAAGGCCACCAATGGGTTTTCAACACAGCAAGAAAATCCTACGCCTGGAGGCTGGCTTCAGCGGGCTTCTAAACAAAAATGTGTACTAGTTCAGTGAAAATGGACGTCACACTACACTCCAAAACATAAAATAGATCTAAAACTAAAAAAACATACAAGACTAACAAAGGCTAGAGGCTCCTGACTTGGAACAAGAGCAAAAATGCGGCAGGTTAAACCTATTTTGTAAGATCTCAACCCTGATATAGAACTGTTTATAAACACCTTATCCTTTATAAACTTTTGAAGATTCATTGAACGAATCCCCATAAACATTATAAAAGAGGGACAGGAATCCAAAGAGATAGTGTATGATGCCTGACAGAATTGCTTCCCTTCATTAGTAGATACTTAGTCAGCCGTATGCGGTTGATCTAAGGAAGTACTTCTTTATCTCAGTGGTATACACGCTGCCTTTTAACACAGAGGTCCCTGGTTCGAGTCCAGGTGGAGACAAGCAATTTTGTAATGATTTCATTCTCTCCGGTTACAGATGCAACAGAATACCTTTTTGCTTCAGATTCAATTAAACACAAAAAGGGGGAAGAGTTATAAACATGATAAACCAAATAAATTATTTTTTTATTTTTTTTACAAACTGAAACAAATAATTTACAAGGCTTGTAATGCTTTTACAAATAATTATTTATAAATCAAATCTGCTTATCAAGGAACGATCTAAATGTGTGCATATTGCCAAATAGTAAATTTTTCTGTGAATGAAGAAGAAAAAAATGTCAATAATGACAATATCGACATTGTTTGTTTACTTTCCGACGAAAGCAGCCTGCTCTGAATTACATTTCAAAATGCAGACAAAAGTTATGTTACCCGTTCTTGGCAATTGGTTTTCCCAACATGGTATCCAGGAATCAGAGTTATCACAGAGTTCATTGCTATGATTCGAATTTAAGTCATCCATTTTGCTTTAAACTTTTTTGGCTGCTGATGCTGAATCGGACGCCATTTTGGTATGATTGGGTTGGAATTTGGGGCACCTTGCAGGTTAATTGAAAATTAAAAGCTAAACCATGCACAAAGCGAGACAACTCGACTACTTTACTCGTATTAGCTTCAAGGAAATAATTTAAACAAAAACAGTGGAACGTATATGAATTAGAATCTATATAACAACGCATGGCACAGTAAGTAACCAAGGATGTGGCGTAACATACGTTTATTATATATGCACTTCATATCAAACTTAATGATAGATATCTGAATTATTGGAAAGAAAATATTTTTTGTGATGATAAATCATTGCACGGTAATAAGCTCAGAACATATAGACAGCTTAAAGAAAATTGCAAATTGGAAACCTATTTGTTGTTAAATATTGACAGAAAAGTAATTGGACATTTTGCCAAAATTCGCATAAGTAATAGTGTTCTTAAAATTGAACAAGGTCGACACAGTAAAACTCCTGTAGAAGAAAGAATTGCAGTCCCTTGTGTCTTTTAGAAGTAGCCTGAAGATGAATTTCATTTCACTATAAAATGTACAAAACTAAATACAATTACAGAACTTGCAATTATTTTCCAAAATTAGTGAAATAGTTCCCTCTTTTATAAATATGACTAATGAAGCAAGATTTAAATTTTTGTATAGGCCTACGTGTGGTGAGACTGATATAATTAGAATTATTCTAAAATTCATAAGCGACATGTACAATTCTAGAAATGCTTTATTGGGTACTAAATAACTATGTGGTACCACCTCCCCAGCAGAGATTATATACATTTATTATTGTAACAATATTTTCTTTTAATAATGGAGGGGATATACAAATATATATATATATATATATAAAATTTTTATAAATGTGGTAAGATATATGTTTGTATGTTTATGTAAAGCCAATGTTTATTGTCTTGGTAACAATCCTATAATTTTGGATTTTAAACCAATATCTTATCTTATCTTACGGAACTCTAAAATGCAACGTTACGTTACGCTCAATTATAAAGTCATTACATTTCTCTATTTCCGAGTTCAAAAGTGCTGATCATTCATTTCAAATAAAGTGCTGTTGAATAAATTAATGTTCAAAATAAAAGTTTTAATTTTACAGTCCATATTTCACTTATGATATCTATATTTGATAATTACAGTCCATATCATTATGCAGTGACGGATCCAGAAATTTCATATACAAAATAACAATAAAATAAATTTAACCAACTCAGTACCGGTCACATACAGCCTTGAACAGCAAGTAAACATCATATATAAATGTATAGGCCCATGAATAACAAAATGTGAAACAATTCGAACGAGTAAGCTATAACACCATGGATATGCAATAATTTTAAGATATAAAAACAACCATCACAAACGACAATCAACAACTTGGCTGATATGCATAAAACCACTTAAGTTAAAATATCCAATCTTAGTATTAATTTTTTCCGGGGGTTGGGGGTTTTGACCCCCGCCCCCCCCCCCCCCTTTCCTGGATCCGCCACTGAATGGGACGGACGGACGGACGTACAGACGGGAGGATGGGCGGACAGAGAGGGGTAAAATAGTATATTACGGATTACAAATGTGTGATTAGATAGCAACACAGAAATGTCAGTACATATTCAGGAAACTTCCGGGGTATATACGACGTTTTTTACCCCAATCGGAACCTCCGCAACGTCATCATAAAGAACGTTACTCACTGGTTCTCCGTTAAAGCGCCCATTTTATGACGTTAATTTGTCCCAACGTAATAAAGCAAAACTAACGACTTCGAATTATATACCCGTAGCTTGTTATACTTATTTCTGAGATTTTTATATTTCTTTATTATCTATATTTTGAATTTTTTACAAAGTTTAGTACATATTGCACAACGATAGTGATCGTACCGGCCGTCGAAATGTTTTCTTCGTAAACCTGTAATTTCCGTTAACGGATAAAAGATCAAGCAGGACAAAATATTCAGCACAACATAGAGTGTGATATGAGTTAAATTTGATTTTAAGGTTACCATAAATAATTTTGTTTATAACAATGGTCATTTATTCCAAATCATATCAGTCTGAAAAACTAAAAAAAATTGAAAACTGCAGAGATTTGTTAAGCATGTAATCTCCGTGGAATGGTCTATTCTAAACAAACACCAATTTTGAAAATAAATTCTACATCCAACAGATTAATATCGGTGTCATCATTAAATTTTAGTACAACTTCTATCTTCAGATACACATATTATGCTTTATAAATGATGAAATCATCGAAATGTAACCTCCGTGGAATGTAATCTCCGTTGACGTTTTGGTAAAGAGTGCTTTCTATCACGTCCGCACTTTTATCGAGTATGGCATGCCAAATAAACATATTAGATAATTATCACTGATGACGAATATATAAATTACAGACCAATAACATACATTGTAATTCAGGCGACATAAGAAGACACCATATAACAATTCTTATTAATCAATTGTTTAAGTGTAACAGAGTTGCTTTTATCTCAGATCTAGAAAAAAAAACCGAACCGGATTTATATCAATATTAATATTTATGCAAGTAAATAATTTTAACCCGTTTTCAATATTCAAGATATGAAACTTTTATTATTAATATAAGTTTGATACCGAATTTAATACGATGTAACAATTATGCAAGTAGCCATAAAAATTGCTCTGCCTAATGAGTTTTATATCATGTTTTAACCACCGTATGATAGGCACAGAAACATTTTAATTATAAAACAAAGGATTTTTAATATAAGTGTGTGGGTAGGATTTCACTGTAAATATAGAGCACTGCAACATATTGGTGGAGGCATCACTGTACATAGAAATTGCGGATCACAAGTTCTACATACTAGCGTATGGTTCCTCTACAAAGGGGGTTAAAGATACAGAGGTAAGGTAAGGTTGCACAGGGAGAGAAGCTTTTAATTACTTTCTTTCATTAAAATGAAATTACGTCGGCTGAGAGGGCGTGGTATATATTGTCCGTTACATTTATTAAAAACACCATGTACAAATATTCTTTTCGAAAATAAATACAGTTAAATAGATCAAACAAAGATATCCGTCACAATGATATATGACGGTCTGGATTAGGGGAGGGGGTCTAAATTACTGTATTTTGTAATTCTTTTGGCCATTTTTCTCTATTCAGTAAGAAATATGCTTATTCTGTAAAATTTTTGTGTTCAGTTCCTGCATATGAAATTAAATTTCCTGTTGTATCACAATTTTGACATGACAGATCTTCTTGTTCGTATCAACGACATACGTATATATATGACGACATTACCCCGTACACCCCTTTTTTGGAATCTGTCACTGAACTGCACAAATGATACCATTTATCAATTTTGATTAATATCTGATTAAAATCAAAGGGGGAGAAAAAAAAAACTATTTTAATTTCTTCGTAATAATTTGGATATCTGGGATAATAAACAGAGGTTAAGATGACATGAGGTATATTTGATCATAGAATATTTGGTTTGTGATATGAGGTACTAGTACTGAGAAGCAGAACATTCAGTTTGATAACAGAGACAGTACCGGCAGTTAACCGACATTAAGAGAAATCTGGAATCTGATAGAATAAAAATTCGTTATCCAGAACTAGATTTTATTCTTGATTACCCAACTGTCCAACAAAATATAAAAACATTTCCTAACAATCAGTTGTTTTGGAGAATATTAAAATATAATTACATTACATGTATGTATGTTTCATTATAATACGTTATTTTGATTGGCTAACAGCAATCTCGCGTCATTCTGAAATTAACCTTCATTTCAAAATGAAATGTAACATTCATGATGACACAAGCTTCCACAATAAAGTGCACCGGTAAATAAAAGAAAAACTTGATAGAAATCGTGTTTTGATGATCCAAGCAAAAAATTTAATTATAAATAATTCTTATATGATTTGCATATTAGAGAATACGTTGATATGATTGGTTGAGAGGACTTCCGGTAGTTGTTCTTGACGTTGTTTATTTTTATGACCGAACTTCTTTTCGTAACCAGAGACATATAATACAATTGTATTATATGTCTCTGTCGTAACCAATGTAAACAAGATGGCGGCGATAATGACACAATCCGGATCGATGTTAACAAAATTTATTTTCAATTCGCGGTAATAGTTAAATTAAATAATAAACACAAAACCTTCGTTTGAATGATAATAAGAGTTTTTGTAGTTTATTTTTTATCAGATTGCAAATTTCATGGAGTACATATGTTTGCGTTAACCAACAAATATATTCATGCGCCAGGCCTATTCAATGACACAAATATACAATTTACGTGTGATAGAGATTACGAGTGTGGAAAAATAAATTCTTTATTTCCAATTTTAATAATTATAAGGATTAAACACCTTTTTAAAGGAATTTATTGGTGTATAAACTGTACCAAGTCACTCACAAACATATCATAAAAGTCCTTCGGACTTTTATTTGTGTGTGAGTGAATTGGTCGAGTTTATACACCAATAAATTCCTTTAAAAAGGCGTTTAATTCTATAGTATAATAATTGATTGCTTCTTTTAGTAGTTTTTATAGGGGTGTAAAGCGTTGACCGTACGCACATTTTTAAAAGGAAGCGCATACGCGCTTTATACAAAATGTACTTCGGTCAACGCTTTTACACCCCAATAAATTTACAAAAAGAAGCATTCAATTCTTAAATATTTAACATTTATTGGTACTAAAAAAAAATTATACCCCCAAAAAATCTAAGACAATGTCATCCGTCCTTAAGCATCAATCTTCCAGCCCTATCCAATACATTGTTGTTTGAATTATAATGAGTTATGGATCTTACAAACATGAAACTGGAGACGTAGGAATTATGACAGCGTTCTGATTCTGCAATTCCTTTCAATTCCCTTCAATTGTCCATTTATAAATTTTGAAATTATAAAGAAACTAAGGTTTCAGCTCTATCGGGCAAAGTTAATCTTCGACTGATTTAGTTTTTTTTTTATGTCCTTTTGGTCAGATAGCTCATCAACCCTTTCTGTTCTTTTACATCATTGGCATTAAAATATTCGGCGCTGGGCGTAAATGATGAATATAAATTCAAAACACTATTGCAGAGCTTTTTGTTGTCAATGGTTATCCTGGTCTGACCTCTGTCACGAACTGTTTGATCAGTGGTGTAAAATGTAATCATTGTGACACAATGCAGGAGAAGGATGTAAGGTTAACTTTGTCTGCAATAGGATAGGAGACGAAATGATACGTTAACTCGTGCAAGATCGTGATTTTGGAGAAAAACACCGAGGATTATGAATGTATAGAATTTGCATCGCTAATTTCAATTACCAGTTCCGACTTATTTTCAATTTTTATTTTTTTTGTTGTCACTGAGGCCAGGGCTGGACTACTATGTGACGTAGTCCTAAGTATACAGAACATTTGAAGAACGTCAGAGGCTGACAGAGGGAAAATAATGACGTGTATCCGTCAATTATACATTTTTCATTTAAAATCACGCGATTTACACATCAAATACTTAATTAATGTCTTAAAGTGTTATTACAAATTATTGAAAAACGATGAAATTATTTTTACTGCAAATTAAAAATCTTTCACGTATATAATTATGGGGAAAATAATTGTGTACTATTTAGGTTTCAGACAGGGTATATAATGTGACATTCCCGGCTTAGGGTTTTTATCCCATTCGACTTCGGTTCAGGGAATATAAGCTCTAAGCCGGGAATGTCACAAAATATACCCTGTCTGAGACCTGAATAACATAGATCTATAGACCCTAATATCAACTTCCTTTGGAGCAGGGTATACTGATGATTTTAAAATAGCTAGAACACATTTGTCTTTCAAAACTCATATTTCATGTAGGGATTGTAATAATGCAATAAGGATATTAATGTATCGGTTATCAAAAGTTCATCATCTCTACAATAGCTACCTGTTTCACATGGGAAAAATATACTCTATGGGATGAATTTTATGACGACGTAGAAATATGCCTGATGAAACCGTGCTTTTCCTATACATGCTATAAAAATGGGAATCGTAGATATACATGAAACTTCTTGTAGGTCACGAAAAGTCTTAATTCTTAGAGAACCACTCTGACCCAACAACAGATACACCGAAGACGATGTCTTTAATACGGCAGACATTTTGATTAAAAAAAATTGTTCAGTTTGGTTGATTAATGGTATTTCAACAAAAACAGTCGGCATCCAATGGATGTTATTTACACCTCTACAGGCTAACCTGATTTAGTACTTATATGAAGGAAAAGTCATACAAAACCGTCTCACATACAAATAAAAAGGAAAGGCATCTTGCCAAGTTCCTGAATTTTACTTTCAAATATATTGATGATACCCTGTCACTCGATTCATGACCCACTTATTTTCAATGAGTGCTTGCATAAATTATCACAGTGTATTCGACCTTACGATCCTAAAATGAAAGTGCTGCCTCATATCTGGATCTTTTATTTTTATTGACATAGATTTACACTAGAATATATGACATACGTTTCCCATTGTCAACTTCCCCTTTGTCAGCAAAAAAATTGAAGCAGAAAACCAATCGGACATTCAAAACTGATAAGTCGACGAAAGACTACAAATAGAAAAACAAGTCCACGATACACTGCATGGAAATTTACAGTCGACGATGCATGTATATCAGGAGACGTTTACTCTGTCGACGCACCAGGTCCTGTTCATATTGAGTTCATGTAATTCCCTCAGGTTTTGTGTGGGTTTTTATTATATTGATTGAATTTGAATTGTATATTCCTAATGGATTAACGAGATCTGAACATTGGTTAACTGCTGTTGCCTCTAAATAACCCTGTTGCAAGGTGCTACCGGTTCATGCAATTTCCCATTTTCTAGTTTGATTTGTATGTTATTAGTCTTATTTGAACAACCAATAAACCACTGTTTTCCCTAATTTACCCCTATCAATGAAACAAACACAGTGGAAATTTGTCGCATCTCTTTGATTTGTCTATCTTTAATCAAACATGTTTAACAAATCTGAACATGGAATTGTATGATTGTGCTCTAATTTTATGCTAAAAGAGAGGCACGCTAAAATCATTAAGTGTGCTAAAATCACGATATGTGCTAAATATAAATAAGAAGATGTGGTATGAGTGCCAATGAGACAACTCTCCATCCAAGTCACAATGTGTAAAAAGTAAACAATTATAGGTCAAAGTACGGCCTTCAACACGGAGCCTTGGCTCACACCGAACAGCAAGCTATAAAGGGCCCCCAAAAGACTAGTGTAAAACAATTCAAACAGGAAAACCAACGGTCTAATCTATATAAAAAAACGAGAAACACTTATGAACCACACCAACAAACGACAACCACTGAACAATAGGCTCCTGACTTAGGACAGGTGCATAAAAATGCAGCGGGTTTAAACGTTTTAACAGGCGCCAACCTTCACCCTAACCTGAATCAATTTGGTTACTGAATTAACAGCATAACGTGTGTTTTAACTAATTTGTTAATTAGATAAACATAAGATTTTGTCAGTCATAATCAATATAATGAGTAAACATAGAATTTTCCCTTTTAGACATACATGCACTAACTGTGCACCACTTATTGCGGACCTATTTTTGTATTGTTATGAGTTACAATTTATGACTAAAATCAGCAAAGACCCATCGAAACAACATCTTATACAAAAATTTAACAATACTTTTAGATATTTGGATGATATATTGGCTCTCAATAATGCCGACTTCAGTATGTATACTAAAGAAATTTATCCTGTTGAACTTACTTTAAATAAAGCTAATACTAACAATGACCACTGTCCTTTCCTTTCCTCGATCTTGATATCTATATCATTAACGGGAAGCTTAATACAAAAATTTATGATAAAAGAGATGATTTTTCATTTCCTATCGTTAATTATCCATTTTTAGATGGTGACGTTCCCTTGTCACCATCTTATGGTGTTTATATACCTCAACTTGTACGATTCGCTCGTGTATGTAACAAAAATTATTACACCAGGGTTTTCGATATCATAAACTAGTCAAAACATTTACTAAATTTTATCATCGGTATAAGGACATCATTCGTAAATATAACTCAACATGCAGACATCTTATACGTTCGGGTATTTCACATCCAATCTTTTATGGTAATATTCTTTACAAAGCACAAAAATGTCCGTATTCACCTCAAAAGCTAACAAAACCTTTAAACAGACTTATTAAGAAGGGATATAGTTACGATACTGTTGTCAGGTCATTAAAGATTGCATATTTTGGCTTTAATATTGATTCACTTATAGGGTCTTTGCATCGGAATTTACACATTTATTCTAAAACCAGTTGTTGGCATGACACGGGTTATGTTCTTCTCATATATTTTATGACGGTATAATACTAAACCCCTAACAGGAGGGATTGTGCCTGATATTCATATGATGAAGACATAATCTTTCAATCAGTTTAATTGAGGTCTGGAGCTGGCATGTCAGTAACTGCTAGTAGTCTGTTGTTATTTATGTATTATTGTCATTTTGTTTATTTTCTTTTGTTTCCTATTCTGACATCGGACTCGGACTTCTCTTATACTGAGTTTTACTGTGCGTACTGTTGTGCGTTTGTTTTTTCTACATTGGCTAGAGGTATAGGGGGAGGGTTGAGATCTCATCAAACATGTTTAACCCCGCCGCATTTTTGCGCCTGTCCCAAGTCGGGAGCCTCTGGCCTTTGTTAGTCTTGTATCATTTTTAATTTTAGTTTCCTGTGTATAATTTGGAGTTTAGTATGACGTCCATTATCACTGAACTAGTATACTTATTTGTTTAGGGGCCAGCTGAAGGACGCCTCCGGGTGCGGGAGTTTCTCGTTGCATTGAAGACCCATTGGTGGCCTTCAGTTGTTGTCTGCTCTATGGTCGGGTTATTGTCTCTTTGACACATTCCCCATTTCCATTCTCAATTTTATGTAATACAATAACTAATTATAAATCAACACACAATTATTTGTTAAAAAAATAATGCTTTATAAAGTAATATAACATTGTACGTGTTATAGTCATTATTCTCATCGACTTTTCATAACAGTTTAAGATATAATCAATATGCTTACCAAAATAACACAGAACTTTGTGTTGAAAAAATCCACATGATAAATGAATTTACATTAACAATTGTGTTGAAAAATCCACAAGCTTATTTTGTGGAAATGTCAATATGCTTATTAAACTAACATAGAATTACATGTTATACTCATTATACTAAGCGTATTATTTACAGAATAATTATATATATTAGCAATATGCTAGCTGAAATAACATAGAACTTTGTTAAAAAAAATTGACATGCTATACATGAACCAACATAGAATTTGAGTGGAAAACCCAACATGCTAAATAAACTAACACAGGATCAACTTACCCTCCCGGAGCACCTGAGAAAACTAGTTTTTTTCAAAGGGGTTAGTTTTGCTCTTGCTATAGTCAAAAGTGTTTTCTTTGTGTTTTTTTTATTGGTTTTTAACTTAGCTCATTTAAAGTCAAAACCGTCTAATTATAAGTGTAGCTTTAGGGAGTTACATCCTTAGCTCAAAGCTATATATGATCCTTCAAATTCAACAAAGAAGTTAAGTATGTTTTATTTACTTGAATAACTATAAAACACGTTTACACTTTCTTAATTTTATTTCAATTCTTAATTTCTTATTTGTATTTGCTAACCGAATTAAAAACGAAATTTCGTATATTATTACCTATCATTATATTATATTTTTATATTATACTAACATGAATTATGGACCGCAAGAAAGTAAAAATCTTATTTCGATTTTCGCTGATTGCATCAGAATCTCAAAATTAATGATTAGCAATTCTGATTGATCAATTTTGTTGCTAAATTTGAATCTTCATCAAGTCTTTTGTTTGGAAGAAATCATTCTGATCGATAGTTCTTCCACAAATTGTTGACTATTTCCCCAGCTACGACATGATTTACTTTATTGCTCATCAACCATATCAGAAAAACACCATCCCTTCGCAGGTAACAATGGATAAAATCCCTTTGTTTTTCAAGTTCGTGTTCAGGAATTTTCTGATATTTTGAAGCACGCTCTCCGTCTACTTCCATAAATTTTCGAATATAGATTTCTGCCCGATATGGCAGTACTGTTGACACAAGATGGTATAAAAAGTATATTGCGTTTATGATTGTCATAAACACCAGAATGAACCAATCGGTTATAAAAATCATCTCACTGAAAAGGTTAATTGGCAGCGAGCATTGGACAGTCCAGGTTTGTATATTTGTCATATGTCTTATATCAAAGTCGCAAAAGGTTACGGTAGGAAATCTTCTGTAATCGGAAATTGCTTTATCGTTATAAACACGTGACAAGACATCGAAACCTAAAGTTTTGAAATCTACCCCTAGTAAAATATCTACCATTACAATTTGTCCGACCGTTGAAATAACGTACAACAATGATGTCATCAAGAAGATAAGCACCAAAAAGTTTCCTTTGTGGAATCCATACGCTGCTAGAAGTTCCCGCGGTTCTTCCCATGTTTTGTACTGTATGTTAAGACAATTTCGAATTTTGAGATATTTTTGTAAATCCTGAACGGTCCCTTGAATAAGTTCCTGTTTAGTGTTTCCATGTGATAACGTTATATCGTCGGTCATTCGTAGTAGCTTCTTTATATTTAAAGAAGAATATCCACTGAAAGCTAGCCAAAACATTCTTGGCGCGTAAAAAAATAAGGCTTGAAAGACCAAAATCAATGGTATCCATTGATAATATCTAATTGTCCTCGTCTTCTTAATGCTTGAAACTGTCGATAAACTTTCATTGAAATCCACTACATAAGTATTCCGCACCCAACAATAGTTGTTGATGTATTCTACCTGAAAATCAGGAAACTGTGCGGGACACCAGCACTGGATAGGTGACGTCGCCAATCGCTGAGAACTTAAAAATATTACAACAACTATACAAATTGCCAAACATCCTAATCGATTGACCTGGTGCACTAAAGGGTCGTCCGATAGACCGAGTTTTATATGCAAGATATTTGTTTCTGGATCGTACTTGTCAATTCTAAAAGAAAAAAAAAGAGTACCTCAGAAATACATGGGTTGCATGTATGTACTTGTGAGTGTCAACATTTAATTTTTCTGGATATTTGCGTTGAGTGGTAATATTATCTGTGAGTGGATCATATAAATATTACTAGTATTATGTTATTTAAAATTTGCAGAAAAAAAACTGAAAGTGTAGTTGCACCGCCAATACATCTGAATAATACTGTAAATTGTTTCACTCGAGGTTATTAATCGAAACAATTAATTAACGCAGTTATAAATACATAGTGTTAAATGATGTTTTTGTATTGTTTATGTATTTGAGGATTGATCGATTGATTATTGCCGAACGTCTAATGACAATTATTTCAGGCATATTCAGGCAGAACGAATGAATAATGCATGCAATAGGTAGGTTCTGTAAGGTCGTTTGACCGTAAAGAAGGGTTGGAAGTTGGTCTACCGCTGGAAACACAGATTATGTTGGATAACAGGCATTTACAGACTCCTATTAAAGAGACTTGTAAGGATTCTTTAACTTGCCGAGAGCGTGAAACTCTTGAACTCTCGTCAAGAAGCATCGGGTTTGTCGTCTAAATTTCGACCGCATGTAAGAGCATATATATAAACGGTACCAATTTTACTGCACAAGATTCGCATTTCGACAATCAATATATCTTCAGTGATGCTCGAGGCCAAAATATTTGAAAGTCCAAAATCTTATACAAACGTTAAAGAGCTAATAGAATAAAAAAGGTCCAAAAGTATAGCCAAATCCGGACTAGGAATCAGAACATTGGATGAGGGAGATATATTCTTCAATTTTGAATAATTCTCAAAACAGCAAATTCTAATAAAAAAAAATATGCGTATTTGTATGCCAGTACTACCGAAGTACTGCTTACTGGGCTGGTGATACCGTTGGGGACTAACAGTCCACCAGCTGAGTGTATTTGGCACAGCCAGACGGACGCATCACTTAAGCAAGGATTTTGCTGTCGAACGGGAACAGTACAGGGATAATAATCTATATACATCAATCATCCCTTGTTGTTCGGGAAGATACACAGGAATACGCCGCCTTATATGTATGATTGATTGATTGATTGGTGTTTAACGCCACTTTCAACACTATTATGCTATTTCGTGGCGTAGGAAGCCAGAGTGCACGGAGAGAGCCACCGACCTTCGGTAGGAAAACTAACAATCCTAGTCAATTAAAATTGGAGTCGAGCGCACCTGACACGTGCGGGATTCGAACTCACTACCTTAGTGTTGACTGGCTAGTTATACAGTAGTTCGACTACTTAAACCACTCGGCCACCGGATGTATACTAGTGATTGATATGAGTGGCATCATCAACGATACCAGGCTAACAATTTGGTACGCCAGACATGCGTTTTGTTAACACAAGACTCATCTGTGGCGCTCGAATCAAAATTGTTGGAAGGCTTAAACAAAGAAGAAGTTGAAGAGCATTGAAAACCAAAATTTCGAAAAGTTGTGCCCAATACAACTAAAGAATCTAAGCCTGGAGCTGGGAAAGGGGAGGGGGACCTTGATGTTTCAAATAATTCAACATTTTATGAACAGTAAATTAATTACAAAAAAATAAGTTTAAGTTGATTTTACTACTCCTGGGTCTAAACTAATACTTATGGACAGCTGGTTTTTGCGATACTACATGAATGTATCAACCACTGAATGTACAATGCATGCCATTTTTATGTCGGTTTTCTTTCCTTTCTTTGAAGAGGCTGCTGTGACCATAAAGGTATTGTTATCCAATCTAAGACAGGGATTTTTCTCCATGTATTTTGTCATTTTTTTCCATTGATTTGTTTGTTATCTATTTTTTTCTCTCATATGGAAAGAGTAATATTGCTCGAGGACAAGAATGTTAAGTCTGTGATAATTGAAATTTGTTGTTTTTTTACTTTTGGTTAGGTGAGCATCAACCTTATTGTTTGCTATGCTCATTTTGAATTTGGACAACATACACACGTATTATTGACCTATCTCTTCAACGTCTTTCTCGAATTCTTACTTTTTCGTGGTCAAAAGGTCATGTTGTCAGAAAAAAAATCACACAGAGCATGGTCATGTTTTTTTTTTTATATATTGTTTTCTATAGTTGGTTAAACTGTAGGTACTTAAAATACATGACTGCTAACGTTCAGATATATCGTTCATTTTTAAAGGTACTTTTCAGAATGCGCTTGTTCATCGTTGCATTAAAATTGTAGTTTTTTGTGTTTTTTTTTTTTGCTGACGTTCTGTCCTTAACCCATCATCCTAATATATTCATAAAGTAACCAAATACTTACCCTCCCATGGTACAATTTGAGTGGACAAGTTAAGGACACGTGACTATTTAGCAAAACAATTCAGGTTGCCATTTAATCAGTGTAACCAGAATACAATCAACATCCTGAAAATGATCAGTTATAAAGAATAAAAATTTTAAAACAAAACAAACAATAAAACCAAAAACAAATAAATTCAATGAACTATGTACAACGCTAAAAAATCATCAAATATACCAGGCTTATAATTTGTTGCACCAGACGCTCATTTCGTTCACACAATTAGACTCAACCGAGGCGCTCGATTCAAAACATGATATATGATATGTACAGTAGAACACAAGTCATTACCCAAAATGACTGCTTCATCTCAGCAGGGGAAAATACAATCAATGATTCTATGTTCCAAGCGTATCCCTTTTACCAAATTTAATTTGATATTCAATGTTTTTTTTACTTGATTGCGATTTTAACTTTCATCTGTTAATTTGTCTTTGACACAATGACTTTTCAAACTGTGTTCTTGATTTTATGAAATAATCAAGTATTTCTCAGAAAACAAAATAGTAAAGTTTTGTTTGATTTTTATGTTTATATGTTGTTTTTAACAAAAAGAAAGTAGTTAATTGGACTATATGCATACCCTAATAGCAATAAATGGTATAGCGATCTTCGGTAAAAGAAATTGTTTAAGAGCTTACCTGCATGGTACATGGTTATACAATAAACTTTTCTATTCAATTTATCTTCAATTTGGAAATAATCGTTAAATTAAACATAAAGTACTTCTAGCTAAATGTAATAATAAATCCGTTGAAATCTGTAAAAACCCAGAGATAACAACTTGAAATGATAACTGTTTTATTAATTCAAGAACGCATTTAATAATTACACTAAAAGATTAATCAACGTTGTAAAATTTAATAAATTTTATACTATATTTGAAATATTGCCACCGTCTATTGGGAATTTGATGGGGCAAGTCTTTTAATGCTATAGTGATATAATTTCAGTTAAATATTCAAAATTACGGATTTAGAATATTTCGGAAACGTCGACTGCGGTTGCGATTGCCAGTAACTTTGAGTGTACACAATTATAATGCTACTATAAGTAGAATTGAATCAAAAAGGGGGATCCGTTATTTACGGTTCTTACATATTCCATGTTATATCGAGTATTATAGATTATTTGTCAAACAATTAGAATAATACATATTCGCTGAAGCTTACAATGAATACAAATGGTGAAAAATACAAAAAAATTACGTAATCAAGACAATTTTTCTGTGGGTATTTTGAAAGGCGGTGTCAAAACGTATGACATAAGTGTTTTCAGATAACATTTAATAAAAAGTTCAAAGTGCAATATGGGAAAATTTAGATTTTACTACTCGTGTTCCATTTATAGAAGTACAAGGAAATACAATTTATAATGCTATATACAGACAACCATCAGATTTAACTGTCAACTAAAGACTATAATGAAATCATTACAAATTGAAGTTTTGATTGGACTAACTATAAAAGGCATCACATCTTCAATGCGTAAATAAAAGCATTGTCAGTTTATTTTCGATTTATGAGTTTGAATGTCCCTTTGGTATCCTTCGCCTCTCTTTGAAGCAAAACACATTGTTTCAAGTTTCCTAGATTTTAGTCTATATTTCCGACTTCACAGGAACTGCTGACTCGTCATTAGAAACTCGACGGGTGTCACACATAAATCTGTTTCATTTTTTGCCATGGTGTTGTCTGACACCTTGGTATGTTTTTCTAGAGCAACTGAGCTCACCCTCGGTTTACGTAGGGTTTGTGTTGTCCAATCTTTAGAGTTTTGTGAATAGTTTGCGAATGTTTGGCTTTCTAGAGCAACTGAGCTCACCCTCGGTATACGTAGGGTTTATATTGTCCAATCTTTACAGTTTTGTGAATAGTATTCGGATGTTTACCCTTCTATAGAGCAACTGAGCTCACCCTCGGTATACGTAGGGTTTATATTGTCCAATCTTTACAGTTTTGTGAATAGTATTCGGATGTTTACCCTTCTATAAAGCAACTGAGCTCACCCTCGGTTTACGTAGGGTTTGTGTTGTCCAATCTTTAGAGTTTTGTGAATATTTTGCGGATGTTTACCCTTATAGATCAACAGAGCTCACCCTCGGTTAACGTGGGATTTATGTTGACCAATCTTAACAGTTTTGTGAATGGTTTGCGGATGTTTACCCTTCTAGAGCAACTGAGCTCACCCTCGGTTTCCGTAGGGTTTGTGTTGTCCAATCTTTACAGTTTGTGAATAGTTTGCGGATGTTTACCCTTCTATAGAGCAACTGAGCTCACCCTAGGTTTACGCAGGGTTTGAATTGTCCAAATTTTACAGTTTGTGAATAGTTTGCGGAAAAGTTTTTCTGAATCCAGATTTTCCCCATATCTTATCATGCTTATAGTGTTAGATTTTGAAAAAAATAATTTGATTGATAGCCTCGAAATATTAAAAAAACATTTTCTGACTCAGACAAAAAACCATAACCCCCTCCTCCCTTGAAGTTAAATGGCTGCTCCCTAAAAACACTGATCCATCACACTATAAAAAACAAGAGGCTTTCAGAGTGACAGCAAACCGGATTTCCTGCAGAGGTCGAACCCTGAACAGTTGAGCAAGTACAAATGTATGGACAATACATTTAAGCTTAATACAGCTCTGAATTTGTATTGTGATTGAATATTAGACACAGCATAGGTTTGTGACACAAATCGAATGCGGTCAAAGAACTGAAAAATTTGAAATTGGACATTTACCTATTATGGTCCAATATCCAAAATCTAAGTACATTGTTAGAATCAGCATATCAAAGAACCCAAAGAATTCAATTTTTGAAGAAATCAAACAAAAGTTTAATTTAGGACCCTTTGAATCTCAATGAGGACCAATTTGATAAAGGAGCCCAAAATCCAAAATCTCTAAATACATGGTTAGATTCAGCATTTCAAAGAATCCCATACATTCATTTTTTGTTGAAATCAAACAAAATTTAATTTTGGACCCTGATTTGGACCAACTTGAAAACTGGGCCCAAAAATCCAATATTTAAATACAGGTTTAGATTCAGCATTTGAAAGAACCCAATATATATTCAATTTATGTTGTAATGAAGCACACTTCAGTTTAATTTTATCCATATACTTATTAATTTTCTGTTCAAAGGGAAATAGCTCAAACTGAATAAATGATATAAAAATAGTTCTCTAAAATTAGATATGATTTAACCACTAAAAATAATTCTCTAAAATAAGATATGATTTAACCACTAAAAATAGTTCTCTAAAATAAGATATGATTTAACCACTAAAAATAGTTCTCTAAAATTAGATATGATGTTATATCTATTTTCAAATTATAATCAAAAATCTAAATACCACTTAGATTCAGCATATAAAAAAACCACCAAGAATTCAATTTTTATACGCCCGTCAATTTTGACGAAACGTATTATGGTATACAAATGTTCGTCTGCCCGTCCGTCTGTCTGTCCGGCGTAAAAATGTCGCACCGTAACTTGAGAATGACTTATCCAAATTTCATGAAATAACATAGTTGTTTCTTATGATGGTCAAACAATCTGTATACTTTTTGGTGAAAATGAGATTAAAACTTTTTGAGTTACGGGACTTAGTAACTAAACAGGTGTGTGTTTTTTTTTTCACATGTCGCGCCGTATCTCAAAAACAATTTATGATTATTGCTTAAAACTTTACACACTTCTTAGTTATATTAATCTTAAGATCTGTATACTTTTTGGTGATGATTCAAAATTTTATTTTAGAGATATTGATTATTTTGTTAAAAAAGGGGGAGGGGTTTTTCACATGTCGCGCCGTATCTCAAAAATAGTTTATGATTATTGCTTAAAACTTTACACACTTCTTAGTTATATTAACCTCAAGATCTGTATACTTTTTGGTGATGATTCAAAATTTTATTTTTGAGTTATTGAGTATTTTGTAGAAAAAGGGGGAGGGGTTTTTCACATGTCGCGCCGTATCTCAAAAACGATTTATGATTAATGCTTAAAATTTTACACACTTCTTAGTTATATTAATCTAAAGATCTGTATACTTTTTGGTTTTGATTCAAAATTTTATTTTAGAGATATTGAGTTTTTTGTTAAAAAAAGGGGGTTTTCGCATGTCACGCCGTATGTCAGAAACTATTTATGCTTATTGCATAAAAATTCACACACAAGACGACGGGCGTATCATGCGCTCATGGCGCAGCTGTTTATTTTTTTAATAAAAAAAGTTGAATTTTAGACCCTTTGGACCTAAATGTGGACCAATTTGAAGACAGGCCTCAAAATAAAAAAAAAAATCTAACAAGAGACCAAATGACATAGAAATTAATTATCAATTTCTGTTCAAAGGGAAATAAGTCAACCACTTTTGGCTAATGGAAAGGGCTATAACTCAAAAACGAGAAAAGCATAAATCGTGAAAATTTAACTTGACCTTCATTTAGTCACAGGAAACAACATATCTAAGTTTGAAAAAATTTCGTCAAAGCGTTTTCAAGTTAATGAACGGATACTGTTTGGCAGCCGCCCGCCCGCCCGCCTGTCGTACATCCCCAAATTAATAACCGATTTTTCCTTCGAAAATCCCGTTAAAAATCAACCAACAAAAAAAGAACGAAATAAAAATTAAATTAAAAAAAAAGCTCTTCTCTTTGACTGTGCATTAAAGGGGATGTGTTACACCTTCCAGTATCTATATTTTCATTTTCGTACAATTATCTGTGAATTAGAGGCAAAGGTAGTCTACCGATAACTAAATATCTATCACCGCCAAACGTTTCAATTTAGGTAAAAAGTAAAATCACAAAAATACTGAACTCCGAGGAAAATTCAAAACGGAAAGTCCCTAATCAAATGGCAAAATCAAATGAATGGACAACAACTGTCATATTCCTGACTTGGTACAGGCATTTTCAAATGTAGAAAATGGCGGATTGAACCTGGTTTTATAGCGCTAAA